GATTTTATATTTTGCTGGTCTCTTTTTTGAGTTGGGAGCACATGTCACAGAATCTAGTACTATAGTCACTTTGGTGCCCTCTCGGGTAGGTGGCCTATCAGACACAGGAGCTTTTTCAAAATACACATGTCCTATTTTGTTCCTCCTGACCAGTATTCTAATTCTGTAGTTTGTGGTGAGGTCCCTAAGGGAAATTGTGATTCCTTCCTTGCCTCCATTAAGAATTACTGTTCGGATATTGCTAAAAGGCTTTTCATTCGTTCAAGGAAGGGGATGGTACTTCCTCAATACAGATGAAGATTTATTGGGAGGATGGCATTTGAAGTATATTCTGAAGAATGGGTTTGGGGAAATAACTGGAGATTCCAGATGGAGGAAATACCAACAACAAAGGTAGAACAAGAGTCGTAAGTGCAGTGTTAGATCAGGTGTCAAAAGCTCAACTATCATGTGAGCTAGGCAGGTAACATCAATATTTAAAATGATAACTGCCAAACAAAATGATAAATGCCAGTTGCTTCTTGATGTTGATGTTAGGCAACTTGGAAAGAACCTTTCTGTACAAAAGAGTACATAGTATATATTTTTGAATATTTAGAATTAAAATTTTAGATGGGTGGAAGCTTTAATGCTATGTTCCACTGATAGTTTAAAAATTGCAGCTTCAGGGGCACCTGGATGACTCTGTCGGTTAAGCGTCCAACTTCGGCTCAGGTCATGATCTCACGGTTCGTGGGTTCCAGGCCTACAGCAGGCTCTGTGCTGACAGCGAACTCAGAGCCTGGGGTCTGTTTCGGATTCTGTCTCCTCTCTCTGGTCCCCCTTCCCCCTACACTCATGCTCTGTCTCCCTCTGTCTCAAAAATAAATAAACTATAAAATATTTTTAAAAATTGCAGCTTCATTCTTAGAAAGTTTGTTTTTTATTTATGGTAAATTTAGTAATTCTTTCCCACTTTTATTATTTTTTTAATTAAAAATTTTTTTTAAGTTTATTTATTTATTTTTTAGACAGAGCACAAGCAGGGCAGGGACAGAGAGAGAAGGAGACAGAGAACCCCAAGCAGGCTAAGCACTGTCAGTGGGGCTCACACCCATGAACCTTGAGATCATGGCCTGAGCCATGCTTGACCACTTAAGAGCTGACAACTAACTGAAGTACTTACGTGCCCCTCCCTCTAACTTTTAAACATAAAGGGCATTTAACATCTTAAAAAAAATTTTTTTTTTATGTTTATCTCAGAGAGGGAGAGAGAAAGAGAGAGCATGAGCAGGGGACGGTCAGAGAGAGAGAGAGAGAGAGAGAGAGAGAGAGAGACAGAATCCGAAACAGGCCCCAGGCTCTGAGCTGGCTGTCAGCATAGAGCCCGACGCGGGGCTCGAACCCACAAGCCAATGAGATCATGACCTGAGTTGGAGTCGGACGGTTAACGAACTGTAATATACATCTTCAGTGTATATTTGTGTATGTGTGTGCATGCGCACGTGTGTGTGTGTGTATGTGTGAGACAGAGAGAGAGGGAGAGGGGGGGAGGGAGACAGACAGACAGACAAGAACCAATCATGGGGTTCTTTTTGTCCTGTTTTATTTTGAGTTCAGCTTTTTTGGAAGCATCCTCCCCCATCCTACTGACATATCTATTCGTCTCCAGAAGGATTTCTTCCCCTGAAGCAACATCATTTATATTCCCACTTGAGCACTCTTATATCTTGTTTTCAGGTCCTAAAGTAGAGCTTTTAGCAAATGAATAACCTGTGGTTTGCTTTGTGACAGGTCTCTCCACTCACAAGCTGAAGGGCTCTAGCTTGCTTGGTCTCATTTGATTTTCATCATTCTAGCACTGACAGTAAATCACACACCAGTCATACTTTTCCTTGGATATATTTCCTTGTATCCTTTACTTGTCATATCAGGATCATGAAAATCCTGCTGCTCATTAACTTTGCCAATTTAAATAGGACCCCCCTTGCAAAGCACATTGAATAAGCATCAATAAAGCATAACATGTGATGTGCGTGAAGGCATCAATCATCTGTCTGTTGCACCCACTTCTGTCATTTTAGCACTTTCTGCTCTCTAAGAACTCAGAATACCAAAGGGGTGGACAACTGAAAGACAGATGAAACGGTTGATTTGTTTAGTTGCTAAATGCAGCTGGGACAGGTAATTAAACAGTCCTGCTCCTGCAGAGAAGCCTGCAGCAATGTAACATGAAGTCTTAAAAACCCAGCTGTACTCAGATTTAGATTCAGAACTAATATTAGGTAGGCTTCTTTCAGATTGACAGATTTCGTAAACATCATTTCTGGTTTATTTGTTCAGCGTGATTAAAGATGGGGCATGTGTGTTTTGCTCGTGGTTTAAGTTTCTAGGGAGCATGTGTCATTTATAGATATCTGCAAGAATAGCCTAGAAGGGCACAGTCCTGTATCCGGAAGGTGAGGGATTCCATACGCAGCCCTCTGTGGCGATGTCCAGACTAGATTGTAGATCGGCGGTATGCTGGTAAATGTCTAGCTCTCAAAACAAAAATTAAAGAGCAGCCCAAATTTATAGCATTTACCAGTATCCGTGATGTTAATAGTCCCACCATAGCAGATTTCAAGTCACCAAAATGACATCACTGACTACTGAGCTCCGAAACGATTCACAGGAGTACTTGGTTGTTTCTGATTTCTCCGTAGGAAGAGGACTATTTAACTACCTTGCCCACGTTCATTTTGTAACTCAACAAATCCACCTTTTCATCTGTCTCTCTCAGTTGGTCATCCCTTCAGGATTTTCTAAGTTTTTTTTTAATTTATTTTTTAATTTACATTCTAGTTAGCATATAGAGCAGTAAAGATTTCAGAGTAGAATCCAGTGATTCATCTCCTGTGTATAACACCCACTGCTCATCCCACAAGTGTCTTCCTTAATGCCCTTTGTTTATTTAGCCCATCCCCCCACCCACAACCCCTCCAGCAACCTTGTTTGCTCTCCGTATTTAAGAGTCTCCTGTTGTCCCCCTTCCTGTTTTTATTTTTCTTCCCTTATGTTCCTTTGTTCTAAGTTTTTAGATAGTATTTCCACTGTACATGTATAACAGATAGAAGTCTCTTAAATGAGCTAAAGGGTGGTAAAAATAATTAGGAAGTGATGGATTTTGAGTCCTTATAACATTTATTTTTAATATTATTTAATTGTAGTTGTATAAAATTTTTAATAACTGGCTTGCAAAATTCCTGAAAATTGAACAATTTGTTCTTGCAAGTAGTCTTTACACCGTAGAGATGACCCATGGGTGGACCCACTGACCACTCTCTGGTCACTCAGTGCACTCTCTGCACTGGTGTTTGCCTTATAAACAAAGTGAGAGAGCTGGCAGTTTCTAATTACAGAAAGATTTCTTTGAGAGTTTTTATTAACTTTTTACTACTAAAGAAAACGCTACAAAAACAAACACACACACACTAATAATAAGGAAACTGATGTCTTCTTCCTGTTGGAGATGCGGGATTTGGTACAACGAATAGACAGGAGGCTGAGGTGGCCGCGGTGAGAAATAAAGAAATCACAGACAGGGAATAAGAGTAAAAACAATTTAATGTTCTATTTAGAGTGCTAGAACATCTTATTGCCAGAGATGGCAATAAGTAGATCCTGAAGTGCTTGGTGGTCAAGAGCACTTAATTTTCAGAAAATCAGCCCAGGGCCGGAAGTCCCTCGTGCTTGTTTTAAGTCCTTGAGTGTAGTGTGCTACACTGCTTGCCAGTTCACATTCGTCTGTGTGTATATAGTGGGAGGGAAATGAGCCCCAAGTGGTGTCTGAAGAGAGGCCTGTAGAACTCTGGGGAGTCAGAGCAGATGACTGCAGGGAGGTGACAGAGATAAGGGATGACAGAGAACAGGAAATATGAAGGAAAGAGCCATGTGATGGGTGTATTGCTAAGTTCCATAGGGTTTTCTCCTTATCAAATATACAGATAGAGGTGGGCTCATATTTTAAGAGAAACAGACTATTGATACAGGAAATATAAATCATAATTAGTACCATTTACCACATTTGAGTTTATACAGGCACAATGAGAAATCATTAGCTCCATCTTTAAAAGACAAGGGAGTGGATTTGGTGAGTGCCTTTTTGATCTTTACAGCCAATAGCACTGAGTCTCATCTCTTAGACATTGGTTAGAATTTCTTAACCTCTGACTCCTCTGAGCCCATATGAATTCTTTTAAGCCAACATCATCAATCTTAGGATGGAATAATGATTGCCTTCCTCATTACATATCTACCCTTCCCTAACTGGAAATTGTTATCACTTAAGTTGGTGAAAAGGAAAAGGAGTTCTTTTTTTAAATTTTTTTATTTTCTTTTTTTGCTTTTGTTTATGGAAAAGGAGTTCTTGAGTGAAGTGCCATTTTTCACAGATTAGCTCAAAAAAACATTTTATGAACCCATGTTTTTTTTAGTGCCCGGTACTATTGTAGGCGCTGAGGTTATTGAGAGAGCATATAGACTTTGCACTTAACCAGGGGGAACAATCAAGAAAATCGAAATTATAAACACCATCGGTTGTGAGCTCTGATAGAAGTGTGTATGAGGTGGTCTTAGACCCCACACAGAGGCACATTAACTTAGATTTTAGGAAGAGCTTCCTGGAAGTGATACTCATACTGGAAGTGGGAGTGCAAATTAGGTAATAAAGAGGAACTAGAATATTCTGGGCGATGGGAAGCCCTGAAGAAATGTGAGGCATGGAATGCATACTGGAAACTATAGAAGGTTTGGAATGGCTGTTGCTTCAAACTGAAGGACTTATAGGTCTGTCTCTCCACTCCTAGGGAATCTGAAAGGAGAAAAGAAGAAGCAAACTTTATTGGTGACTAGTTTTCTCATTATTGTCCTCTACCGGGATCTTGGTGATCTGATTCAAGAGTGTCAAAATAACACTTGACAGAGGGATTAACAGTTGGATATTGTCATGTTTGATGTTAGTGCTTTGTGTTTTGCTACAGCTGCTGCCCATTCACACTCTGAGGCTTGGCATGGAAGTGGATTCCTTTGATGGGCATCATTATATATCTTCAATTGTTCCAGGTGGTCCTGTTGATACACTGAACCTTCTGCAGCCAGAGGATGAGCTTCTTGAGGTAAAATCTCTGAGAGATAAAAGACACAGGACAGGAATTTCTAAGTTGTAGGAAAATGTATTTTTACCAGAACTTCACTGAATTACGTTACTGCCAACATAACGTGACCTACTTAGATCAAAAACTGCTTGGGGACCGTTGTTAACAATACTGTGTTGTATACTTGAAAAATTGCTATGAGAGTAGATCTTTATATTTCTCACCACACATACACGAAATGGTAACTATGTGAGGTGATGGATGTGTTAACTAACCTTATTGCAGTAACAGTTCTTAATATAGGTGTATGTCAAATCATCCCACTGTACACTTTCTTTCTTTTTTTTTTTTAATGTTTTATTTATTTCTGAGAGAAAGCGAGAGAGAGAGGCAGCGTGAGAAGGGGAGGGTCATAGAGAGGGAGATATAGAATCCAAAACAGGCTCCAGGCTCTAAGCTGGCAGTCAGCACAGAGCCCGATGCGGGGCTTGAACCCACGAACTGTGAGTTCATGACCTGAGCTGAAGTCAGACGCTTAACCAACTGAGCCACCCAGGTGCCCCCGCACTGTACACTTTCAATTCACACAGTGTTCTATGTCAATTCTATCTCAGTAAAACTGGAAAAAATGAAATAAAATGAAGGCAAAGAAAAGTACAGGCTATGTAATGACAGCTCATTTTCCCTGTCTTTTGGAAACCCTGAGATGTACTTCTAAGTGCTTATTTAAGTGATTGAGAAAAAAGGTAATGGCCTGTTTTAGATTGATAGCATAATTTCTTTGTTTTAGCAAAATTCTTTTTAAGATTTAAATCCCTATACCTTGTTTGCAACATGTGATCCCATTCATTTGCAGGATTTGGTTATTTCTTTTTTTTTTTTTTTAAATGTTTTACTTATTTCTGAGAGAGAGAGAGACAGCATGAGCAGGGGAGGGTCAGAGAGAGAGGGAGATACAGAATCTGAAGCAGACTCCAGGCTCTGAGCTAGCTGTCAGCACAGAGCCCGATGCAGGGCTCGAGCCCATGAACCGTGAGATCATGACCTGAGCCAAAGTCAGACGCTCAACCAACTAAGCCACCCAGGCGCCCCAGTATTTGGTTATTTCTAATAAGAATTAGGCTAGCCAGCTGACCTCAAGCTTACTTATTACTGATTGGTATTCAGATGGTCTCCTTGGGATTTGCTCACACAACATGGCCGCCTCAGTGGGCTCACTCAGCAACCCCCCTCCTCCGCCCCGTCTTCATTTAGAGCAGTTCTAGAGCACTTCTGCTTTGGCATCACTTTCTTGAGATACTTTGTTAAATTGGACAGTTCTAGAAGTAATACAAAAAACCAAAGAATATTGAATCCCATAATTCTATGGACAAGAAAATAAGGCATTGATTAGATCCAACTTTATATACTCCATCAGGATGACTTTTGTTCCTGTTTTGTAACTCCCATTTCATTTTTTTTCAAATAAAGCACACTACTTCCTAAGCTCCAAAAAAAAAAATTGGCGGGGGGTGGGGGGGAGGCAGGGAGGATGTGAGGAATGGTCACACTTAGAGAAGGCTGTGTAGAAGAGGGTTCTCCCGAGAGTTAGAAACCACAAGAAGTCCTCAGTTGAGTTTAATAGAATCAACCTTGTAGCCTTAGCCAAGATTAGACTCCCATGGGCCTTGATTTTAGAGATTTCTTTCTAAAGTTTATATTTATGCAAAGTGAGATGACAAGCGTAGCAAATAAGTTTTATTGTTGGATGCAACTGCATTTTTTAGCAGTGTCTGGCCACCTAGAGAAGAATGTTGAGAAGTCTGGCCTGACTTTTGAGGTCAGGGGGACAACTTTTACGACTGGTGTGTTAAATTCTGTCATAAGCATGGGAGGGCGAGATGTTGGAGTCCTGTTTTAAGATATAGTAAGTTGCAGGGCGCCTGGGTGGCTCAGTTGATTAAGCATCTGACTTCCTCTCAGGTCATGATCTTGCAGTTTATGAGCCTGAGCCCTGCGTCAGGTTCCTGCTGTCAGCACAGAGCCCACTTCAGATCCTCTGTCCCCCTTTTCCTCTGCCCCTCCCCCATGTGTGTGCACTCTCTCTCTCCTCAAAATAAATAAACTTTAAAAAAAAAAAAGATGTAGTAAGTTGATTATTTTTAGAAGTGTTCAAGTCATCATACTGAAATGCTTACTGCAGATTAACGCCCTTAGGTTTTACTTACATGACTCAGGGTTTTTTGTTCTTTGTTTATTGTTTTGGTTTTGACTGAGGTCTTATCTTTCTCTTCTGATTGTCCAGGCACATAGTATATAGCTTTATGGATACACACATGATAATCTGGAGATGGAGACCATTTCTCTAATATGAAGTAGGGTTTTTTTTTGTTTTTGTTTTGTTTTATTTTTTAATTTATTTTTTTTTTTTTTTTTTTTTTTTTTTTTTTTTTTTTTTTTTTTTTTTTTTAATTTATTTTAAGAGAGAGAGTGTGTCTGAGTGGGGAGAGGCAGAAAGAGGGGGGCGACGAGAAAATCCCAAGCAGGCTCTGTGTTGTCAATGCAGAGCTGGACATGGGGCTTTATCTCATAAACCATGAGCTCATGACCTGACCCAAAACCAAGAGTCAACTGCTTAACCAACTGAGCCACCCAGGTGCCCCTATAGTATGTAGTTTTTAAGTATTGAGAAATGAGATATTTTTGTGTGGAGAGAAGTGGAATTAGTAAAAACTAGTATGATGCTCTCTTTTTTGTGAGAAATATACATACGTTGTACACCTGAAACTAATGTTGTACGTCAACTAAAACTTAAAAATTTTTTATTTCCATTGTAGTTAACATACCGTGTTCTGTCAACTACAATTTAAAAATATATATATTACTTTTTCTCCAGGAAAAAAATATACCTATATTATAAAAATATACCTATATAACATAAAATTGCCATTTTAACCATTTTTAGTGTACAATTCAGTGGCATTAAGTATGATTCACTATTAGTATATGGTAGGTGATAAAGAAATATTGGCAAGTATAGAGCAAGTGTATAGGATCCCAGCTGTCAACTGAGTCCTCTGAGCTTTAGCGAGGATTATAATCCCATGGGCCTTCCATACTTAATTCTTAAGTATAGTTTTCTAGTGAAAAACTGGAGATAGGAAATGAAAGGTTTGAAGTCAGAAGAGCTGTTTCTGGTTTTGAATTTGCCATAGCTTCACAACGTGCCCTTTGATATGTCAACTTTTTTGAGAATTGTTTCTTTCATCACCATGTTTTTGTGAGGATCTAACAGAAAATTTTCCATGTAACCTTTTTTTAAAAAACAATGTTTTATCAGTTTCAGGTGCACAATATAGTGATTCAACAATTCATACATCACTCAGTGCTCATCAAGACAAGTGCACTCCTTAATCCCTTTCACCTATTTAACCCATCCCCCACCTACCTCCCCTCTGGTAACCATCAGTTCTCTATATTTAAGTGTCTCTTTCTTGGGACACCTGGGTGGCTCAGTGAGTTGAGCATCTGACTTCAGCTCAGATCATGATCTTACAGTTTGTGAGTTTGAGCCTCGTGTCAGGCTCAGATGTGGACAGCTGACAGCTCAGAGCCTGGAGTGTGCTTTGGATTCTCTGTCTTCCTCTCTGCCCCTCTCCCACTCATGCTCGCTCATTTGCTTTCTCTCAAAAGTAAAAAAACATTAAAAAAAATTTTTTTAAAGAGTCTCTTTCTTGAGTTCTCTTTTTTTCCTCTTAGCTCTTTTGTTCCTTAAATTCCATGTGAGCGAAATCATATAGTACTTGTCTTTCTCTGACTGACTTGTTTTGCTTAGCATTATACTCTCTAGCTCCAACCATGTTATTACATAAGATTTCATTCTTTTTTTATGGCTGAGTAATATTCCATTGTATATATACCACATCTCTATAAATCGGTCAATGGACATTTGGGTTGCTTCTATAATTTGGCTGTTGTAAGTATTGCTGTAAACATAGGGGTAGCTGTATACCTTTGAATTAGTGTTTTTGTATTCTTTGGGTAAATACCCAGTAGTACGATTGTTAGATTCTAGGGTAATCCTATTTTTAACTTTTTGAGGAACTTTCATACTGTTTTCCACAGTGGTTACATTCATCCATGTAAACTTTAAGCATAATCTCCCGGTGAGATCTTGGCAGCATTATCACTGTGAAAAGGCATAAACAATCTTTATGGGATAAGATGAATGAGGATTGAATGAGGTAATGTAATAGGACAATACTTATACAGTATTATGTACTCTGCAAATGTGTATGTGTGTGTGTTTTCTAATCACAAAGTCTGAATAATTGAGACTTGACAGCACTTAAGAGGGTCTCAAGTTGGAGGGCCTAGAGAAATACTGTGAACTCTAAAATAAAAGTTGGCTTACCCTGAATAACCAAATATAGAAATAAAACCTCTCTAAAGTTAGCCAATAAACTCTTGAACTTTGTGTGTGTGTGTGTGTGTGTGTGTGTGTGTGTGTGTGTAGTGTAGTGTAGTGTAGTGCACTCCTTAGAGCTTAAAACCAGAAACACAAATATGCTTTGGGGTTAGAACATTGTGCCAAGTCTCGGCCCAGAGCAGCTATTTACAGCAGCCATAAATCCTCTTAGATAGGAATTGGTAATGGGAAATGTGACCAATCCCTTTAGCACTGGAGAGTAGTGAGGAGGACTACCAGGCACTGCTATAATAATTGGAGACTATTCAAATGAATAAATAATGAGCTAAATAAATATTTAAATGTACTCCAAGATTAAAACCTGAAAAGTGATTTTCTCATTTGTTGAAGAAATGTGAAACACAAACTAATACTTGTATATGGGTAAAATTCCTGCTTTGGTTCTATCTGCTTGTTTTATTTTCAGTACAGGGTACTACCCACTTGCGTGATCTTAGAACTTTCTGTGTTTGTGGCACCAGTTGACACCAGGGACATGATATGACCCATGAAGGTTGACTTTCAGTTCTTCCAGGGAAAAACCTTTATCAGCTCTTGAACTTTCTGTCCCCTGGATCCCTTTCATCAGTCATAAAGTCTTGGGAGACGGTATTTATTTTCCTACCAGGGCTAGCTCCCCAAAGCACATATGGGTCTCTTTATTATGTGGTGATTTCTCTGTAAATAATTAAGAGGCAGAGCAATGGGCATCTGGCCTGATCACTAAGTGCTTGTATGCTGCAGGCCTGAGAGTGGCTCCCAGGGATAGTTGACTTGGGGCTCAGGCCACTGCTGATGATATGGTTCCAGCAGCTCACAGTGTCATATTGTCTGAGAATGACAGATTTGTGCAGTGGTTTCTTCTCCCAGGAAGTCAGCCCCTCCATTTATGTGAACATTAGCACTGTACCTGTCAGAAATTAATGCCAGACCAGAAATATGTTTAAAACTAATAATGCCACTGAACCTTCCCAGGTAGGTAGGAGTCAGATGTGAAGAGATGATTTGGTGCCTGGATTGTGTTCATGCTTCAGCTTTTGGGGAATAGCAGATAGGTCAGCTTTTAGTGACATTGAGTCAGAACTGGTAGAGCTCCTGGAGCTTAAGTCATATATATAAAAGGTTAGAGTAGTTTATATTTCTAAATAATCTTTGATGTAAAACATTGTGACTGTACACTAAAATAGGAAATTTAGATAATTTTTTGGTGAGAAGCTCCAAGCATTAGTAAGGAGTAGTTGGTTATCTTTTTATTCTTTTAAACATATGGTTTACACAGGGGCACCTGGGTGGCTCAGTTAGTGAAGCGTCTGACTTCATCTCGGGTCATGATCTCACAGTCTGTGAGTTCAAGTCGGTCTCTGTGTTAACAACTGGGAGCCTGGAACCTGATTCAGATCCTGTGTTTCTCTGTCTCTTCCCCTCCCCCGCTTGTGCTCTGTCTCTTTCTTTCTCTCAAAAATAAATAAACTTAAAAAATAAAAACTTATATGGGACACACATAAAGCAATTGGAAAACTGACATAGCTGTACTTGATGGCTATGTGTAAGAATAGAATAGAGGCACACTTACATGTGTTTCTTTTTGATAGGATTTTTCTAGGATGATATTAAGAGTTTATGGCATATGGGAAAAAATTGTGGACTGATGCTAAATTTTGACAGCTGAGTATCCTAGATTTTGTAACTTACACATTATAAGTGAGCAGGTTTTAATTTTAGCCTTAAAAGTTAGTGTTAAAATCTATTAATGGTATTTTTATGAAATGAAAGAGCACAAGGAGACAGTCTTAGGTTATCAGTGGTGTTTATTGTTTAAAGAAAGATGTGTAAATGAGAGGATTCAATATTGGAGTCTAGAAAAGAGAAACCATAGAGGTGTGAAAAATTAGGCACATCACTTGTAATCTTCACACATCTTCTTTGTTCACTGAAATTCAGTAAAGATTTAGCTTTAATTTTTATTAATTTAGTTTTGTACATTTATGCATTAGTTTTATGCATTTAGTTACTACTAAAATAATGTGACTACACTTAAGCCCTTTGTTCACAGGGAAAATAAAACAATAATCCTCTTTTGTTTTGGGTTCTTTTTTGATAGATTGATATAAGCATGCAACTTTGGTGTATTCATTGGGGCCTCCTCAGTTCTGACTTATCCCTTGACTTTCTAGGTCAATGGTGTGCAGCTGTATGGGAAATCTCGTCGGGAAGCAGTCTCCTTTCTCAAAGAAGTGCCTCCTCCCTTTACCTTGGTTTGCTGTCGACGACTGTTTGATGATGAAGCCTCTGTAGATGAACCAAGGACCACTGAAGCCTCTCTTCCTAAGACAGAGGTACTAACTGAATATGGGTCCCATATTCAGTTCCCATAGGAATGCCTATTCATCAAGGATGCCCTGGAGAGTGTATTTGCATTTGAAGGGCGGGGAGAAATTTCCTTCCTCTTTTATTTGACTAAAGTAGTGCTCAAAGGCAGTAATGCATAGCTTTCCAAACTGTTACTTTTCATTTAAAATCATAAAACATTTTTTCTTCCTTTATTTTTTTTAACTTGAAATGGTGGAGATACTAAGGTGCATGCACTTTGATTTTAGAGAACTTTTTTTTTTTTTAGTAATTACCTGGGCTCATTACTTCTGGATCCCAGTTCAACTCAGTTCATCTTAAGTTTAAGATGTTGATGAGTATTAAATATCTAATGGACTTCCTTTTTTCAGAGCCTTAAAAATATGAAGATCTATGACCAGTTTTGAAGTGAGTAAAAATTGCTGTAAAAGCCTTCAGAAGGTCAGAGAAGAAAATAAATTTTTCTGTGCTCCTGGGACTCTTTTTTTTTTTTTCTTTTTTTATAAAGAACATTATGATTATGAAAACAGTTTTAAGCACATACTTTGCCATCTTATGCCATTTATAACCTCATCTCTTATACCCATTCCTCTCCCCTTCCCCCCTTTCCAGACTTTACATATTATAATTCCATTAACACCAGTTTACATACACAGAGACTTTTCTTTTACCTGCCTGCAGTCTGAATTTCAAGAAACGTGGACCCTAATCATGCCTCTATCACTTAAGGATTGTGAATCTTGGAGCAAATAACTTCCCTTGAATATTCATATTCTTCTTTGGAAAATAGGGGATGCTTATAGTATTTACTGCCCTCATTGGTTTGTGTGAGGAGGAAATGAAATATGTACACAGCTCTTAGTGCCATGTCTTCCACATAGAAAGTGCTCAGGAAGTTAACAATAGCTCTTGACTCCTCCAGGCCACCCATCTTTGTTTCCTGATTTTCTAAAGTATGCAAGAGGCTAGCACTGTCTTAGGGTCACAAATTCTTTCATGTGTATTAAACTTGCTTTTACATGACAACTCTGCTCCCGTGGGCAGACCATATCTTAAAATTAATTTGTGTCTCATAGTGTTTTTATTCTGTACTGGGTGTATAAGAATTGCTTAGTCCACTATTGATTATTAATTGAGAATCTTTTTTTTTTAAATGTTTATCTTTGGTAAAACCTGTTTCAAAGAAGAGACTTGAATATCACTTTTGTGATTCTTACTATCTTTACTAAAATTCACTGTGGATGAGGGCCTACCTCTAAAGGTTGATAAAAGTGCCTTTAATCTAATCTTACAGGGTGTGTAAATCACCAACCCAGCTTGCTGACTCTGTCCTCCCATCTGTCATTCTTTACCACAATGGGTAAACAACAGCTTTGAATTATTCTAAATGTCAACCTTGCTGCCCATTAGTTGATTGCTTTCTATTCTGTAAATACGGGAGTTGCGCAGAATTGATTCTATCAGAGTGCTATATCTCAGGTTGGAGTATAATATCCTATATACCTTAGATGCCCTGAAATTTCTGTAAGCTTAGGTTTTATAAGTGTATGCAGTTTCTTAAAATCTTGGCTTTATTTTCCATCTGTCTTTTTTATTTTTTTCCAATTTATCCCCATATCATCTTAAGTTCATAAACCTTATCTGGTTAGACAACTTAGCCAAAATTCTAATGCTCATTAATCATTGAGGATATTAAATGTCCAGCAAAACATCAATCACATTGTAATAGGTACTGGAACTTTACTTTTTTGGAAGGTATAATGTTTTCTTTTTAAATATCATTTCCTCACATCAGGCTGATATATACAGAGGTTATTGATTCAGAGCATCTCCCTAATTTCGAGTTTTGTAATTCAAGAACCCAGAAATTGTTCCCATGTTTAGATTCAATCCACCATGGATTGCATATTGACTTTCCATGTCCTGTGGGGACAGTTTGAGATCTGGACCAATCCTAATTTTAAAACTGTTTCTGTACTTGCTGTGGTGCCTTGTTCTTCCACATTAGAGGGGCTCCCTCCCTTTGATTTCATTAAATGGATTTTCTTATGCAAGTCACTCAAAATTATGTTCGTAGGAGTGCTACACTTTGATTTTATTTACTAAGAGCATCCAAAGTTTTAAGAACTCTACTTTGAAAAATTAATCTGTAGCTTTATTTAGAAAGTTTCAAGGGACAGGCAAAGATGGATGATTTGTTAATGTATTGAACAAATATTTATTGAGTGCTTAGTGCACCCCAGGCTGTATTGCGGGCTGAGCAGAGAACCACTGGTAAACCCCATGGTAGCCACACAGCATTTCCATTCTAGCCTGTCATTTTGTGAGTTGGTAAAGCTACAAAGAAAAAGAAGATCATTTTTGAGCTTCAGATAGAAGCAAGATAGATCATATGAAAACATAGTGCAATGCTATAAATAGTATTAAAAACTGAAGGTTGAAGCAGCTTTTCACCTTCTATGTAGCTGACTCATTGCCCACTATGATTTTTCTTTCTAAAATTCCCTATCGCAGTGACTTTTACCTGAAAGGAGGGGAGGAGTCTGGAATTAGGGGGATTTGGGAGTGTGAAGTCAAGGAGAATAACCAAGGATCTCTGTACTGAGTAGTTTTGCTGGCTAATAACATCCTCCATCCGAGACCAGATTTTCTTTATTTCAACGCAGTGATTTTTTTTTTTTAATCTGGTTTTTAAACCTTCACAATTCACAAGGACTTGGGTTCTTTTCCCACTTTATTTTTCAAGTGAAGTTTTTCTTAAAAACTACAGGAGCCAACAGAAGTGGTTTCTCTTTTGTCTTGCACTAGCTTCTCTCTGTGTTGGCATCTTTCTGTCTCTCACTGTAATTATGAATTCAGGTATTGCTACTTAAATATCTTATAAACTTTGACTTTGTATGATATTTTCATTTTTTCTTAAATTTCGTATTTTCCTTTTATGCTTCTAATGGGATGACAGACCTCATTGAAGTATAAGAGGTCAGTGTTAATATTTTGAATGAAACAGTTACTTTACATTTAAAAAAATCCAACTGTATGAGCACTCTGCATTTTTAAGTACTTTAATTGTCTTGAAGATCCTCTGCTAGAGTGTGTGTACCCCAGTGCATGCCCCTTTTGAAAAGAGTAAAAAGATAACCTATGCATGCCAAAGAGAATTCCCAGTTTGAGAAGAAGCTATGAGATTCCTGATATGTTAATTCTTTTCAGAATTGAAAGGACAATGTTTTGAAGCATTTATCTTCTTTGGTGTTTCAGGCTGACCACACTACAGATGTCCATACTGAAGAAGATGATGACGGGGAATTAGCATTATGGTCACCTGAAGTCAAGATTGTTGAACTTGTAAAAGATCATAAAGGCTTGGGATTCAGCATTTTGGATTACCAGGTATAAAAATCTATACTGAGTTTCTGGAGGAATTTGTTTGTTTTAAATGTATGCAAAGAAGTAATTATGTAAGGCACCCACTGGGGAAGACCAAATGATTTGATGTATAATGCTATCATCCAAAGACAGGTGTTAAAATTCCCTTTAAAATACCTTTGCAACTGGTAGCTTTCTTAGTGAATAAAATGATGGATGATATAATAATTGAATTGTGAGGGAAGCAATAGTTTTACACCCATGGCTGCCTTTAGAAACTGGAGCTTGAAGAATTTTTAAGAATTGTTTATATATTTATTTTGAGAGAGAGAATGAGAATGTGAGCTGGGGAGGGGCAGAGAAAGAGGGAGAGAGAGAATCCCAAGCAGGCTCCTCTTTGTTAGTGTGGAGCCCGATGACGGGCTCAGCCTCACAACTGCAAAGCCACAACCTGAGCAGAAATCAGAAGTGTGATGCTCAACCAACTGAACCACCTGGGTGCCCCTTGAAGAATTTTTTTTTATATGGAAGGATTTTTTTTCCCCCAGCTTAAAATTTTTTTTAAAAATATTATTTATTTTTGAAAGAGAGAGAGCAGCTGAGAGGAGCGGAAGAGAAGGAGACACGGAATTTGAGTCAGGCTCTAGGCTCTGAGCTGTTAGTTAGCACAGCGCCCGATGCAGAGCTCAAAACCACAAACCATGAGATCATGACCTGAGTCAAAGTTGGACGCTCAACTGACTGAGCCATCTAGCCGCCCATTCCCCAGCTTTATTGAGCTATATTTCACATACCATAAAATTCATGCATTTCAGGCACGCCATTTGGTTGTTTTTAGTATATTCAGAGTTGTGCAAGCATCACCACAGTCCAATTTTAGAACACTTTCATCATCGAAGAAAGAAATCCCATCCACATAACAGTCATTCATTCCTAATTCTCACTCTTCTCTCTCCCCTTCTCATGAAGGTTTTTATTGTTTTGCTTAACTGTTAATCTCAATGAGTTTGATTAAATAGAAATGTTCTTGGTCAAATTATATATTTATATTTAACATAGGACACATAACATTTATGCTACTCCAATTATAACTAGAGTCAAGTCACTAATGTATTTGGGCAGATGTGTGTGTGTGAAAGATCACAGTAAGACATATATCTATATGTTTTATCAGTTTACCAGTTTATAGTATTTTTAGACCTTCTGATTATCATGGGGAATTTAAGATTGTTGGCAAAAAAGCTCTTCACTTCTAAGATGCATATTTTAATACTTTAGTGCTGCCTAAACACATTGTGGTTTAATAAAGCAAAATGTACTCTATCAAAGCATATAAAATGCCAAGTGATAGAAAAATCAATTTTTTTAATATAATAAGGCATTCGGGAACAGATTAAAAGAAAAATACTTAGAGCATTATGTAAGAACATTAAATTCCATATTTAGGCAGTATGATTTAAGATTACTGAAATAGATTGTTCATTTTTGCTGGCATATTTCTATGCCTGATAACCCTCTCTGTTATTAGAACTTTTCCCTGGAATATTACTGAATTATGATTTGCTGATTCTAAATAATGCATATTTAGGGAAATATTTTTTATCAAGAAATATCAGTACTGCAAGATTCTAGAAGTTTATATATTCATTAATGTAAGAGCATATAAAACAAATTTTAGGTACTGTCTCAATTTTTCTTCCCCAGTACATCCTTGATTACCTACCATATGGCAAATGATAAATATTTGCAGAATGACTGAATAAAGTTTAGGTCAGTAAATTTTTTTAAAGTTTATTCATTTCTGAGAGAGAGCACAGGTGTGCATGTGGGAGAGGGGCAGAGAGAGTGGGAGAGAGAGAATCCCAAGCAGGCTCTGCACTGTCAGCACAGAGCCCAGTGCAGGGCTCAAACCCACAAACTGTAAGACCAGGAGCTGAGTAGAAATCAAAAGTCTGATGCTCAACCGACAGAGCCACCCAGGCACCTCTAGGTTAGCCAAAATTAACTAGAACTAAATGAATGCATCCAATGAAATGTTTTGTTTACCATTTTGATCATTAGGATTTAGTTTAGAAAACACCTTTCAGATGTAGTGTTAAATATTCAGGTACATTTCCATTATCACTGGAATCTATGTGTATTTGCATTATTATATAAGGTATTAAAATGGTCACCCTTACCCTCTTAAATGACATTATCTGCAAGCTTTATATATTGAATATTGCCCATGTTGAAGCAGAGAAGTGCTTCAGAAATAAAAACCAAGACAAACAAACTTCAGTAAAGGAGAGAAAGAGAAGTTTGATAGTCCTTAAGACTGTAACCTCTAGTCAACAGAAGAATTCTTTTATCAGTTCTGAGATTTACACTTAAAAATAGTTCCAGGTATGGAAATTTTTTTTCTTCACCACATTCCTGTGGGTATGCCTTGTAGCATACTCTGGTTTTTTGAAAATTTATTTTTATTTATTAAAGTCTAGGGGTACCTGGGTGGCTTAGTTACGTATCAGACTCTTAATTTTGGGTCACACCATGGTCTCGCAGTTGTCAGATTGAGCCCCATGTGGGTTCTGTGCCGGGCATAGAGCTGCTGCTTAGGATAAGTGTCTGACTTGGTTTCAGCTCCACTCAGAGCATACTGTCAAAGTTGGTGAGCTCGAGCCCTGGATTGGGCTCTGTGCTCACTGTGTGGAGCCTTCTTGGGATTTTCTCTCTCTCCCTCTCTCTGCTCCTCTCTCACTTGTGTATGCTGTCTCTCTCTCTTTCTCTCTCTCTCTCTCTCTCTCTCTTAAATAAAAAAAAAATTCTAGGTTTCCTCTATCTTCCTCCTTCTCATCAACATGCATACAGACATTTCTGCACAAAATATATGAAGTAATTTTGCTGCAAAAGAAGTGTTAGATATTCCTTTTGCCTTTGTGCTTCTCAGAGAACTGATGGAAAAATATTTCTTTTTGAAATGCTACTTTGATTCACATTAAAGTGCTCAGTTTATTTACTTCTGTAGCTAAACCCTGGGAGAAAAAACAATCTTGAACTGAACTTTCTTCTTAAGTCTATTTACTTATAGCTCTATTTGGCACATTTTCATCATTTGTCAGTGGTATGTAGAACTATTAAATGCTGTGACATTTAGATGACACATAAACACAATTTAAAATTTGGTTTGGGGCAAGTTAATTAATTGGTTATATTGTCCCTTGTTGTAATTAGGTAATAAATTCTGAAGTTCAAAAATTTTTTCCAAGGCCAGGTGAAGGTTTAGCAAAAGTCATGAAAGGCCATGTTCCTGGCTATTATTTTAATTAATGTATCCTGTATGAATTTATGAGGTGGCTGAATAGGGCCAATGCAGATCCACCCCCATCGCATTCATCCCTTAGTACATTTAGAATAAGAATACCGTAGAAACATTTTGGCCACAGGGAGAAAGTTTTAGGACAGCAGGAGAGCTTCCAGGTTGTAAAGGACTGCATTAGCAGTATTGACGAGATTGAAAATTTACTCTGCAATATTAATTTCCCACTAACTGGTTTTTCTCTGGAATAGTAAGAACTTCCTCAAGAACCTGACTAAATTATAGACAGCATCTTTTGCATTGGTGCTTATGTAATTTCTCCATCTATAAAATGGAGATAATGTCTAGCTTGAAGGATCAGTGTGGATTAAGTAAATTAATATGTAAAGAAGTGGGAAATGTTAACATTACTATGGGTATGTGAATATTGATAATCATCCAGTTTAGAAAATAGACTACAGAAGTCTTGATATTGTCCTTTAATATATAGCCATACTACAGTATATTTGTACCCTATCAATTTTTGGGTATCTATTTAGATTAGGAAAATTAGTAAGTAGATGCCTTTGTTTACTGGAATCTAAATTTAATTGTAAAATTACATTCTAAAATGCAGCCAACTCTTGGTGAACCATATGTCAATTATCCAATTGTGGATTATTGGCCAGCAATTTGCTTTTTACATAAATTGAGCTGAACCTTAGGAAAAGATGAGGGAGCAGATAAAGGATCTTGAACTGGTCATGGAACTATGGGGTGGCTGTCTGGACAGGTGAAAGTCTGGAAATGCAAAGAGCAAAGTGGAAATATATTTTTACAAAAGGCATTTAAAGCAGATTGGGACAAAGCAAAAGGAGATAGCAACAGGGAAGACATAGTAAATATGATTCAGGTTGTAAGCCTTGTCATTAGATTTTAGGATAAAATCATAATAGCTTTATTGGCTAGGATTTGAATGGAAGTAGAATATTTATTAGTCTCAAATATTTCTAGGCACTGCTGCATTTAGTGGCTAGTTAAAATCCTCACCTATATATGTACCATGTTAGAATGGTTGTTGGTCACTATAATGTCATGCCTTATAGGATGACATTAAGCCATCCTATAAGTGCCGTAGAAAACAGCAATGTGCCTAATTTATCAGGAACATGAATATTATAGCTTAACTCTATACTGTTTCTAAGCAACATAAAACTTCAGAAAATTGCTTATAATTTTTTATAGTATAATTTCTTGTCAGTTTCTAGATGTGGTTTACATATTGTGCTTGAGTTATCTTCATCTTGATCATGTGTAATGTCTTAATTCCTCGGAATAGTACTAATACTCATACTAATCCTAATGTTAATACAAATAAAACTACAAGTCCAGTAATAACAGCTAACATTTATTGAGTGTTTACTGTTTGCTGGGCCTTGTTCTGATTGCTTTACATATGTATTCCTCGCAAAACCCTTATAGAGTAGGTGCTATTATTATACTCATTCTTGAAGTGAGGAACCTGAGGCACAGAGAGGTTATAGTCCAAGTTCACACACCTAGTATGTGGCAGAACTAGAATTTGAACTCAAGCAGTCGGCTCCCAGAATCTATGCTTTTAGCTACCATATTACACTACTCCTTTCACTATGAGTACGTTTTATTACAGGAGATCTGTGTACTAAATTTATTACAGCAGATTTTCCTGTTTTTCCAGGTTGCAAAAAAAATTTCATACCTTAAAGAC